GTTCGGTCTTAGCGTCGCGTCTTTTTAATATTTATTTAAATGATTTACCGGAACTACTCAATAGCAAATTTGTCAAATATACAGCTTTTATGGCGAAATCGATCATGCCTAGCCATGCAATTAATAATTTACTATTCAGTCAGAGCATATTTGCACAGTTATGGAAATATGAACTTAATGTAATAGATAAATGCATTATAAGAAAGACCAACAAAGTGTTTCACATTCATTCTGTTTACACATTATAAGAAAGACCAACAAAGTAATCTAATTCTTAAGGCTAATAATCAAACTTTCCAGGTTGCATATTCCATAAAATATTTAGGCGTTGTTTTAGATGAACAAATAAATTTCAAAGACCACGTGATATATGCCTTAAGGCATAAAAGCCAAACGCCTCATAGGGAGAGAATTAAAACTAGATTTACGCATCAAAAGAAACTTATATGTCTTTTTAATTAGTTCTGTTTTATTCTATGCTGTCCCTGTATTGACAACAGCACTCAAAGCTTAGAGATAGAAAATTGTAATATTTCAGTAGAAAATCCTGAGAGCGATTACTAACGCACCGTGGTTTGCGCAAATTATCGACTCCACCGAGATCTCGAAATTCCGCATGCACAAGATTATATTCTTGCATGTTCTCATAACTTCATGAAATTTAAGAACTTTAATTCGGCCCATATTGTTTAATATCTAAATCGTAATTCACTTCCTTTGTATTTTTACTCCATTGCCCCTTTTCTGTGTACATCAAGTAGTTCAAGAATTTTTGTATCTCTCCATTTCATCTTTCATACAGCCACTAGTTGACACCACATAACACACATAATAGGAAATCTCCTATCTGTCTATGTAAAACTTTATAACCAGCTCGGAATAATGTTTAATTCTGAGATGTAATCGAAGAATAAAATGCTAGTAATTTTTCTCCGATTACAGCGGTGCATTTCGCTGATGTGTACTTAAAGCCAACGGACTAGAGCTTTCTTAAATTCAGGTAAAAACCAACTGGTTGCATGCTTATAAGCCACGCTAAACGAGGCTCATTATGATTAGAGTTGTAGGTATGGAAAATACACTGGAGGAGATTACAGGCAGCTGTTGTGATTGTTGTGGCTGCTTAGGGTTTTGAGGTGCGAATTTTTAAGCACAGTGGTCTTTTTCCCAGGCTTGGGTTTCCACTCAGAGCAGGACTGCCAACTGAAAAAACACAGCAATATCGATTGTGTCCTAGTGTCGTGACCAGGATATTTTGTTGAGATAACGTAGGTGATGGCACCATAATACTAATAATATTGAGATGCATTGTGGCTCACCCTAGGTAGGATTTTGGTCGATGCTTGGCCATGAAGAGAAGAACTGAAGCTCGCAAAAAGACCAAAATATGAGCAAAAAATTTCACACTTTCTTTATTGGTAACTACTTCACGAGCACTTAAGCTCTCCTTTTTGAAAGAATGACGTGTTCCCCATATGAGGGAAAGAATGGTGTGTATTGATAATACGGCAAAGCACACTAGGGCTATTTACCTAAGGGGAGGGATGCCATCGTGGAGGACTTTCTAAGGGAAACTGGCTCGTACACACGTTACACATGGGGAAAAACACGAAAACGCCCATGCAGCCAGCCCGTTCGCGGTATTCAAACCTCGGACCGAACTACCAGTGTTTAGCGATTTTACCGCTCGGCCGAGGAAAAGAATGACGTGGTCCCCATGTGAAGTCGATGATTGCCTTTTGAGATGAAGGATTCCAATTATAGGATAATGCCAAGACAGGGATGATCAACATCGCATTCGTTATTCCCTAACAAATGTAGTTTCCACAGACCACGTAGCAGTAGTCGACAATGACCCGTTGTTCAATTGGGGTCTCCAGCATGTTCAGCGCCGGGAGAAAAACCAGGTCTAGCCAAAAGGCTACAGTGTTCACAATTTGGTTTCTCAAGTTCCCAAACAGCCACAACAATCACATCTCCCTATATTCTTCTCCAGTGTATCATCTATAATCACACCTGCAATAGTAATACGTCCGTAAGTAGTACTCTCGAAGGTTCACACGTTCCAGCATTTTATATGTTCGTAAAGTTAAGCAAATGATTAGGCAACTCATCCAATGTCAAATTCCAAATTGAAAAGAATAACCAATCATAAAATTCTGTTTGCTTTTTCAGATGAACTGAACTAAAAGGAGTTCTTGTCTGATAAAATCGCTTCATCAGGTTATAAAAAACAATATGGCGTAGAGTCCTGTCGCCAACAGAATCTGGTGAAGTCTCTTAACTATTCATATAGCAGTCTAATGCAGTCTTTCAGAAGTTTTTATAATAGTTATATATCTTTTATAATAATCAGATGTTTTTATAATAATTCAAGGGAATGTGACTTCGTCACATCGTATTATGAATAGGCCATTTCATCAAACTGCTACTTTTTCATATAATACTTAATCTGAAAGAACGTAACAGTGAAATACACTCATGTCCATAAATTAACGATAATGCAAAATCAGGCAAAGGAAGAGTTAGAAGCAAAACAAATTTGACTTATTTGTAAAGCTTATTTATTAAACAAAAGGTAAAGAGCAAAAAAAAGATGCTATATGTTTGATATTATTAAAAAAATTAGCGATTTTTTCTCCCTGGAGCAAATTACAGAAAAAAAACCTATTTACAAAAAGCCAATATTACATGGTTGGTATGATTGTTAATACACTGCATGTCTTCCAGACGATGCAATACAGTCCGTACAAAGACTAGGCATACTGAGTATCAAATTATCGATCTGATCTTGCGACATGCGACGGAGGACGTGGGCACCATCCCTCTGCCAATTGGTTAATTGGTATAGCGCCACGTCCACCTTTATCTAGAGTTGGGTAGAATAATTAGTTGCAATACAGGGCCAAACAAGGGCATAATTATACACTTGGATGCACATTTTACAGAGTTTGTGAACACAGGTTACATTGAAAATTTAAGTACATTTGGTTACATTTTACATACATTATATACAAATTTAAGATATTTATATCATATACACTGCTTTCGAATGCATTTACTTAGTAGGTTCATTAAATGGTGCTATTTACATTTATACTGCATTTACCTTATCATACATTTACATTACATTACATTCACGTCTAAAAATAAACACTTATAGAGGGTACATGCTATTCACATTGTTTACTGATTGCCTATGTGCACCACCTTTACAGATTCATTACGTGTGCTGTTTACATTAATATTACATTTGCATTACATTGAAATTATGTTGCTTTCATAATTAAGACATTTAACAGACATTTACAAAACATATACACTGCTTTCGTATGCATTTACTTATTAAGTTCATTAAATGGTGCTATTTACATTCATATTGCATTTGCCTTATGATACATTTACATTGCATTACCTTCACGTCTAAAAAAAAAAAAAAAAAAAAAAAAAATCTGAAATGTTTCAGATTTTAAATTACGTCCAAAGGGGCGTTTTTTAACCATTTTGTGTGTTACCTTTCTTTATTAAATATCATGTTCCTCGCACTTAAACCATAAGATCCAGTGCAACAGCAATATCGCAAAATAGTTTTAAAACGAGCATATCTTTAGAATTTCCGATACAGAGACTCACGCGCTCTGCACAACGTTGCCATTGCTCGCTTTGAAATCCTTGAGTTTGTTAATCAAAAATTCGTCAAAGTTTTAAAAAATAGGAAATCGATCATAAAACAAATTTCAAATTTCAAATTTGGTCTTCCACATGCTCATATTCATTGGAGGATTACGTTATTCAAAATTCGATGACTCTATGTACCGTTATTTTATGACAATGTGAGAAATATACATACATTTACGCATATTTTCATTATTTAATTTCTTCAAATATAATGCAGGACTCTAACATTTTATGGCAACAGTTTGAAAAGTGAACCGACATTTATCCGTCCGACGCAAAATGCCAAAACGAAACTAATAGTCCTTCGGGATTCAAATCCCTTTGGACTAAAAAAAAAAAAAAAAAAAAAAACACTTATAGAGGGCACATGCTATGCACGTTGTTTACTGATTGTCTATGTGCACATGTGCACCACCTTTACAGAATCATTACATGGTGTTGTTTACATTAATATTACATTTGCATTACATAGAAATTATGTTACTTTCATAATTAAGACATTTATTACACGTACACAGCTTTCATATGCATTTACTTATTCAGCTCATTAAGTGGTGTTATTTACATTTATATTGCATTTATCTTATGATACATTTACTTTGCATTTATCTTATGATACATTTACTTTGCATTATCTCCACATCTAGAATATATAAACTTAAAGAGGGTACATGCTGTGCACATTGTTTACTGGTGCTCTATGTGCACCACCTTCACAATTTCTTTCATTACTTGGTGTTGTTTGCATTTATATTACATTTGTGTTACATTGAAATTATGTTACTTTCATAATTAAGACTTTTGTAACATATACACAGCTTTCGTATGCATTTACTTATTATATTCATTAAATGGTGCTATTTGCATTTATATTGCATTTACCTTATGATACATTTACATTGCATTATCTTCACGTCTAAAACATAAACGCTTAAGGAGTGCACATGCTATTCACATTTTTTACTAATTCTCTATGTGCATTAATATTATAATACATATTGTGCACATTATTATTACTTTTGCGTTTACACTGAATTTATGTTACCTTCATAATTAAGACACTTATAAGATATACACTGCTTTCGTATGCATTTACTTATAAGTTCATAATACTTATTATGTTCATTACTTATTAAGGTCATTATCCTATTTTACGTATTACAGTACATTGCATGGCGCAGCTTGCATTTTATTATATTTACTTTATATTACCATCTGTACTCATGGTAAATGCTGATACACTTTCGTGTAGATATTACGTGCAGTTATATTATGCAGGTAGAGTGGAATGATCTCAAGGATGGCACAGGTTTGTGTTTAAGTCAGACAGTTTGTCCATTCAGTTGTACTGTCTTTTTAATTAGGTGCCGCTGTTTTATCATGTACTTACAAAAGGTTTGACGGTTCGTCTGTGGTAGATTGATGTGCAGCCCTTCTGTAAGTGGGCAAGATGTAAGATAGTGCTCTGGTGAGCCATTCTCTCCGCACGCACATTGGCTTGTGTGGCTGATGCTGCGTTTGTGGAAGTATTCCGGGAAAGGTCCGTGTCCGGATATAAATCTTACCAGCTGTGTGTTGGCAGTGTTTCTGCTGGGATCCACGTAGATGATAAAGTAGTGTGTGCGCCAACCGGTGGCGCTGCTGTCCCATTCACTTTGCCATAAACCGGTGGCCTTTAAGCGAAGTGTCTTTTTGAGAAACGAGTGGGGCCATGGAATGGTTATTTGCGTACTGGATGGATCTGTCATGGCCTCCTTGGCGAGTTGATCAACTAGCTCATTGCCTTGGTGGCCGGCATGAGCTTTGATCCATTCCAGTTTCGTGCGATAAGGAAAGTTTTCCCTGAGGTCCTTTTGTATGCCCTGTATGATGTCTGATGGGTGGTCCGGGTTCCATATGGCATACAGCGATGATAGACTATCAGTTTTGATGGTAGCATGGCTGTGCTGATGTGTGTGCAGGTAGCGAATTGCTTTTGCGATTGCTACCGTTTCGCTCTGGAAGACGCTGTTATTCTGTCTGAGTTGACCTTTCCATTGCTCGTTTACTGTGTCGTGCGTCATGGCTACATATGCGCATCCTACCTTTTCATCTATTCTTGACCCGTCCGTGTACATGATAAATTCTCCGGGACGATGGGTTGTAGTAGGATTAATAGTGACAAAAACTCCCTTGACCTTCACTGCTGGGTGGATGTTGAGTGGGCAGACATTCGTTTCATAGTCTTCAGGGTAGTAAGTCTCTTCATCGAAAGTGACTGGTCTTTTGAGTTGTAGGACGTGTTGACGTGCTGCCTCTTCTTCGACACGAATGTGCGGAGGAAGGAGGCCGGCGAGCCACCTTCCTCTGCACATTCGTATCGAAGAAGCACGGATCGCTGCTATTTATCTCTGCACGGAGAATGGCTTGTTGTGCAGTATCCTGAGCTGCATCATCTTGACTGAATACGGTGTTTAAAACTGCATTTAAGGTATCGGCCGTGTAGTCTCATCGATCTGATCTTGGGGGATATTACACCACTCAAAAAGCAATGCTCTCCGAAGTTCCGGTAGACATGTAGGATTGAGGTGGACGGGCTGCAACTTGTCGGCCAAGCATGTCCCACACGTGCTCTACTGGATTCAAGTCCGGTGAGAATGCTGGCCAGTCCATACAAGTGATATCCTCCGACTGAAAGCATTCGCTTACGATGTTTGCACGGTGAGGACGGGCGTTGTCATCCATAAACACAAATTGTGCGCCTAAGGCGCCCCGAAACAAACGTACATGTTGTTCCAGAATGACGTCACGATAAATTTGGCTTGTCATGGTTCCAATTTGAACATGCAGGTCAGTTCTGGAACCCAGAATAATTCCACCCCAAACAAGCACTCCTGCAACCACCGTAACGTAACGGTCGTTTCAATGATGTTTTCTTGGTGGTAACGGGTACCTGGAGCTCTCCATATGAACGTCCGGCGAGAATCAGACTGCAAGCTAAACCTGGACTCGTCGGAATACATCACACAAGCCCACTGTTGCGGTGTCCACAATGCATGCTCTATACTCCAGGTTAACCTCAGGCGACAGTGAGTTGCAGTAAGTGGAACGCATCTGACAGGTCTACGAGGATATAGACCAACCTGCCCTAAGCGTCTCTACACGGTCTGCCTTGAAATTGTCGTACCAGTGGCTGAAGAGAGCTGACGAGACAGGTGACAGGTCTGAGGCTGTGCTCCGCCTGTTTCTTTTGGTAGTAACTGCCAAATACCGGTCCTCATTCCGCGTTGTAACTCTTGGGCGACCTGTACTGTAACGTTTACTCACATTACAATCATTTTGGAATCGTTGCCAAATCTTGGAGATGATCTTGGCAATTCCAAGTTCGTCTGATACTTCCAGTTGGGTACGCCCACATTCCAGACGGCCGATAATTCTACCACGTAAAAAATCATCCAAATGCGTCCTTTGTGTCATAACTATTCGGTTATTGCACTGAAATGCTTATAAAGCGCCTGCGAACAATTTTACTTCTTTGCCTGTATTCCTTATATATCACTCTCTTACACTCTCGTCATTGTGACGTACCATGGGTGTCATCTGGTTACTATTTGAAATTTGTATATGATTGTTGAAGATTTATGTAGTGATTTTACAGGAGATATATTTATTTTAGAGCTCGATTTCCGTGTGACTCCGAATTATCCTTAATTTATGGACATGAGTGTAAATTATTGGATATGATAGGAAAAAAAAAACTATCGTAAAATGACTTTTCCCCGCTATAAAATAATATCCATTAAAAATTGTAGAAGTTTAGTTAATAGATTAAAATCTTATTTTATAGTTATAAGATTACAATCTTTTCAATGAAGAGTTTATAGAGGCATTAGGTATTTTTGGAAGCAGGAAAGATGAAAAATAGCTGACCACCACACCACGAAGGCATGCCAAGAAGGCGTGAGATATACCTTATAAGTTATTTTAGATAATTTTATCAAATATAAAACCTGAATATCACAAACGTATTGTTGCTATTCAGATTTGTGTCTAAGACTGCTGCTTTTGGGCCTGAAGTAACAAAATATTAATCTCAGATAAACAGTTGGATAAGTAGCTGCTGTATACATAGGAAAATTATGATAATCATAATGAAGCGTAAATAAATTTACTGAATAGTTTTACTTAAATCTATTTTATTCAGATACAAATCAACTGAAAGATTTGCTCATTTGCAAGGGGACAGAAATGCACCAAAGCGTATGCTCTTAAATATTATCTTGCAGTGAAAATTAACCCAAATGTATGTCCTATGGTACAAATTTTAAGAGAGACTCACGGAAAGTTGTTACAAAACGCTGATAACTAGCCTCAATTTATAAACACTAAACAGTGAGAACGTAAAGAATTATCACTTTCTCCTAGTGGGTGCTTTCACGGTATAACTGGCTAACATGTTCGGACAGCATCTGAAAGATCTGTGGTTCAATTACAAGCAAAAACACAGTTATGTTTCGCATTTTCTGGCACGAAATGGAAATATTTATTCTCGATTAGGTAAAGTGCCAATCTGTAAATGATCGTTGCATGAAATGCTTAAATATTCAGTATGCTCTTTAATAATTTTATATTCTTAAAATACTGTTCATTTATTGCAATATTTAAATTCTACTTTAAACTTGGTCTTAGATTTCGACATAGAGAAATTTATATTCCATATCATAGCTGTTCAGAATAACATTTAAATTTTAAAATTTAATAAAACTGAACGATGGTAATTCGACTTGGATTTAAACCCTGGGGAACGGAATGAATTCACGGACATTTTCATGAAATTTTTCTCTGTGTATAATGGAAATACGAGCTCTTTTTCCTAAAGTAGTCCTCCAGAAAAGATTTTCTTCTTTTAGGCAATCAATCGTGGGGAAGTTAAAGCATAAAACACATTAAGTCTCAAAATCTTTTTATAAGATAATCTGAGAAGAAAAATAATAGTATTTCTAGTTTAAGAGTGGCTTTCTTTAAGCACAAAAATATTTACATTTATTTTTATAGCAAAATAATTCTTAATGACATCTGTCTTGCAGATAGGAAAGCAGAACTTTGCAGTTTCAGTATTCCCTTCGAATTCCCAACTGTCTCTTTACGAACACCCGCGCCAAATTGCTTGCCTCAGTATGAGGAGGAGATGCCCCTGACTTGGTCTGTAGGTTTCAATGACAGACAAAAATTTGTCAGCACGCTTACTTGCGATTTTACTTTACCCAGTAGATGAAAACCAAAAATATTACACTTAGTGTTCCAAAACGACAGTAAGTCCCTCTTCTCGATAACAAATATATTAGGAAGACAATCGTTAATATCTATTTGATACGAAATGTATAAAAATAGTGTACTATAATAGCATAATTCATTGAAAATGTAAGATAAATATAGATATGTACAAAGGAGTAATGTTCAGAAATAGTGCTAACACGCATTCGTAAAGATCTTTCTATAAAAATTCCTCCCAGCATTTCTCTCGGCTTCCAGTGCAGCGGTGAAATTTCCAGTTATTTTCCCTTGCCTGATTTTGTGAAAAAAAAGCGATGCAAAATTACTTGCAAAAAATGTACAAAAGAATTCTTTCATCATCGCAAGGGTAAGAAAACTAATTTATTACAAAGCGATGATAAAGGAATTAAAAAGGCTTAATACCTTGGGAAACAGAGGAAGGGGAAAAAAAAGTAGACGGATACTAAAAAAACTGACAGGGGGAGAACAACACCTTAAGAAAGAGTGAAAAAGAATGAAATAACAACTTCCAACCCTCCCACTCTTAGAATTTTCATTTTCGCCTTCGGAAAGCGCTAATTAAAAAAGTTGTATTTTTTCCCTCCCCTTTCTGTTCAATTTGCTCTCCACTACACAATCAATTTTTTTTTCTACTTATTTTGATTCTTTTGTTTCATGTTTCTTCCGAACAGTTGTATGCGTATTAATACGCTTTTAACAAGGTGTTCTGTGGGTGGTTACTTTTCTGTTATTTTTCTTTCTATTTGCAAGAAGCAAGGTAAATAATAACGAAATTAAGAATTAAGTGTTCAATAAAGAGTGCTGTGAGTTTCCTAGAAAAGGAATTGACAGTGTTGTAGAGTTGTAGACAAGTGTGGAAAATGAATCAGTTGGAATGAAAAGAAGTTCCGAATTATTTCATTCAAATGCAGTTAGCTTGAATTTTAATATGCAGTTTGAAGTGATAGATTTGATTTACACCACCAAAACTGAAGAAATCGAAAGATGTGTTATCGAAAATGCTTGATTTTTGTGACAAAATTATGCATTCACTTTTGCTTCCGTTTTGTTAAAAAAAGTACTATAGAAGATAATGAGATACTGAATCTGTTTACTTTAGTTAAAAAAATTAAAAGGTTAAAAACAAAAGTTCTGAAGGAAATTGCGGACACTGTCTTCCCGTTTTGATTTGATTCGATCAAAAAGAATGGAAGCTTAATCGCTATGAAAGATCATATTCAACAAATGTGGCCTTTGCTTGTGGAAAAATGTCAACGAAAGCTTCATCAAAATAATTTAAGAATGCACCTTACAAGATTACGGGTATGGAAAAAGTGTAAGCATTGATATAACTGCAGTATATCAATTTGCAGTTTCGTTAAACGTTAGATTTAAATTCACACGAATAAGAAGTAAACAAGAACTCAAGAGATGGTATTTTCAGATTAGAATAGCAGATGTAAAGTTATAAGGATGGCAGGCTATGATTTCTTTTAACTTTGAAATGTAACATACATTTGTTCGGGAGGAAATCTTGTTCTTCTCTTGGATGTAAATTTTCAGAAGCTTGTAAAATCATCATGCTTTCAAACGGATTTCTTCAAGGATTTCTCTGCTGCATTTTGCTTCCTATGAATTTAATAGATTTTGTGAATTTTATTTCTATTTAAATTTTATTGATAATTTACACAAAAATTAGACATTATGACGTTAACTAAAGAATTTTTAAACGCATGGATTATACATTTACATTATACCTTCCGTTTTTTTCCTTTGCCGGTGAGAGTGAATGTAAAGAAGTATGAAATTATAGAATTTTCTTCCAGAGACTATGGAGCACTGAAAAATACTGAACCTGTGTTATGTAACATATTGAGTGTTATATAACATTATATGTTGTTATTTAACATTATGTGTTATATAACATTTTCAAGGAATGAGGGAGAGTCAAATTAGTATTTCCCTCCCAAACTCAACTCTGTATAAGCACTAGAATCCTAATCCAACTCGCGCATCCGTATTTTCTCTTGTGTTTTGGGAATACGTGGGCAGAAGATGCTGGATGAGTTTGTCCTACCTACGTTATATTCCATTATATAAC